GGTGCAGGGGCACGCTCAAATTAGCAGGGATGCACGCCTAGACAGTGCGACAATAAGGAAAATGTGCTGCTGGTTGTTTGTCAGCTTCCTGGTACCTGAACACCTTTGTGTTTGGTGATTTGATTGTCATATAAAGTCATCCATCTGATTGTGCTACAGTAGAAAAAACATATGGATATGTGCACATTCTGCAGAAAGGTTGTCCTAAATTCTGGGTTAGAAGCTTTCTAACAGCTGCAGGGCCTTTAAATAAGTTTTCACACTCCTTTTCCAAAAACTTTAAGGAGCAGGGCAGAGTTGTTCACATGTGATGTGGAATGAAGATTAGTTCTCAAAAAATAAAAAATAAATAAATGAACTGAAAGCTTCAGCGTGCATGTTTTCTTCCCCTGAGAACCAGGTGCAGCTACAATGGTTTTTCCATTTATTTTGCTTTGTTGTTGTTTTTTTTTCATCAACTCTGATGGGCGTCTCTGTACATCCTGGAAAATAGTGCTGTCTTATATTACAGCCACCGGCGTATTTCACAAGCTCAACTTGTGTGAAGCTAGTTTCTCCCCACGTCCATGATTGGCAAAAAGTTTAATTTGGTTTCATTCGACCATGGCTCCTTTTTTCACATGTTTGGAATATACCCTGCATGGGTAGTGGCAGACTGCAAAAAAGAATACTGATTCTTTTTTTGACAACACCTTCCTTCTTCCATCTCTTCCATTCAGTCCTGATGTAGGGAGTCCACTATTAACATGATTCCTGTCAGCAGATGTTCCCATATAATCTGTGAATCTGTTGTTTCTGATAAATGCACTCCTAGCCAAACCTGGGATTCTAAGTGGACAGATGTGTTTTTGTTAGGTTGAAGCTGTGGCCATTCTTTTTCACATTTTGATGATATACTGGAAACAGCTCTGTGAGATGTTCAAAACATGGGAATTGGTTTTATCCCATTATTCCTGCATTTAATTTTTCAAAAACTGTTCTATCATTTTCTCTATCATTTCTTTAAGGCCATAGCTGAATTTATACTAAGGTTATATTATACCGATGTGTAATTGTCCAGCAATGTGAAACCCACAAAATTCAGTGGTACCGTATCTGCTGCATAGATCGCTAGATTGAAATGCTTAAAACTGACAATTTCTCTAATGTTGAGTGAGTCAAGCAGACTGGAAATTTTGGAGCATCATGGTGAGTAAAGGTCATTGAAATAATGGTATATCCCCCATAAGGGCATGAAGAGAGCAGGATTTAAAACAGAGGAAGAAAAAATGCAGTATCATTAAAAAAGAAAGGAGCGGCCCATCTGCGAGTGCAAGAGAAGAATCCAGCAAATAGTGAGCATATAGTGAGGGAAAGATGAAGAGTGTAAAGTGAGTCAATCACAAAATAATGTGGTGAAGCAAAAGGGACACAGGGAGATGGAGGGGTGAAATTAGTGTATATATATATATATATATATATA